GAGGGGAAGCTCAAGTAACAAGTTGGGTTCCCTTGCCCACAGGGTAAGTGAGGGTTTGTGTTTTCTTAGGTTCACTTTGTCTGAGGCAGATCTGCCCAGTGACAGTTTCTGTCACACTGTTTGCTTCTGACCTAGCTCCCAGACACACCCAGTGCACGACCTGCATTATGGCCTGGGCTCTATAACCTCCACCACTGGCTCTGCTTTAATCCTGGCTGCTGGATACAGCTGTGCAATGATGTCCACGAGGGCTGCAATGCTTCCCAGGCTCGGCTCAAGCCGTGACCCATGAAGGGTGTGCCCAGAGGAAGGGCACATGTCTAGTTAGAGCAAAGGGGTACTGTGTGCTTGAGCAGCCCTGGATCAGCTTCTTCGTAGGAAAAGTGCATGCATTTTCTGCAGATGTATCAGCAATTGAGGGAAAAGCTTGCTTTTCCTTTAAAATTTTCCAGATTAAATCTGTGGACCAATCTTCCGAAGGCTAAGCTTTGGAGCTGTAAGAGGAATGCGCACACATCTTGTTTCCCTTAGCAGCATTCATTCATCACTCCCACTCTCTTCTTCCAATTTCTCTCCCAAGACAGCAATAATTTCCAGACACTTAAAATACTTACATTTTATACTATGCTTACTACAAGTGACTAAACGTATAATCGGCTGTCAGTAGAAAAAGCTATATCTAGATAAATTTGATGTTAACTCTGAATTTTCACATATCTATGTACATATCAAAACTAAAGACTATATATAAGCAAATGTCCACAGTAGTAACAGCTTTGGAATTGAAGACTTATCCTCTTATTTGCACTTACATACTCCAACTCTTTGCTTAATGTTGATTTCAATTCCACAGTAAAAGAAGGCAGCTTTTTGCCTCTCCCAACTATACCAGAATTTCATTTTTATGTTATTCTCTGTGTCTATGGCTCAAAGGGAAAACAGATTTATTATAGTGTCATTTTGGTATTTCAGAAGGCAAACTGCCTTGGATAGTGTCCAAGAAAGACTGAATCAACTTCCATTTTGCAGCAAAAAGTGATCATATATGGAGTACAAGTGCAGAAACTTGGAAGCTTCACAGAGTGAGTTTTGGAAAGACAGTTTCCAGGCTGGGAGAACCATCAAAATAGTTCACTCCCTAAAATGTCCTAAAACTTTCCTGCCTCCTTCAACAAATATAACAAATACTAGTTCATTTTTTCTTAATGGCATAGAACATTAAGAAGGAACAATAGACTTGAAATTACAAGACCTGGCTTTGGCTAATTGGGTTGAAATGCACTACTAGATGGATCTGAGTCAATGCATTGTACCTCTGTGGGATTGTTTTCTGTACAACGATATTCCTCAGAACTGTTTGGAAGATTAGGTTAAATAGCATTTTAAAAAGGCCAAGAACAGAGCCCTGGCTCTACAAGGTGTTCCACAAAATGTCAGCCCCCTTCTTGCCCCCTCAGGACACAATCTGAACAGATGAATTAATGCTATATGCCACAAGCTCACTGCCCAGCTGTGGATGCACATATCAAGAACTCCAGGTCTAGGTCCCTAGGTGGTGTAAATGGTTTGTATTCAATTACTAACCTAGAAGTTGGCAGTTCAAACTCAACCAGTGGTGCCATGGAAGAAAAGTCTAGTGATCTACTGCCATAAATATTGTTGATGTTGTTGTTGTTGTTGTTTGCCGTCGAGTTGGCCCCGACTCATAGCGACCCCTCCTTGGGTTTCCGAGGCAGTATCACTACAGAAGTAGGATTGCCCAAGCTTCCTTCAGCCAAGTAAATTGTATGGAGCTATTTTACTTTGTTATACTTGGGGTTGCCGGGAGTCAGAATTGATTTGGTGGCATTGAGTTTTTTGGTTGATATATGTATCAACTGCTGTTGAGTCAATTCCATCTGATAGCAATTCCAATTCCTATAGGACAGAGGAGAATTGTCCCCATAGGATTTCCAAGACTGTAATCTTTTTGAAATTGTGATTTGGGTGAAAGTTTATAGAACAAACTCATTTACCACACAAGAGTTCATTGACATTTTGTTTCATTACACTGACTGCAATCCCTAAACTGTAACAGCTCTCCTCCCAACTCCTCCCTGTGTCCTCCTTTCCCATGCATTCTTGCCCTCTGAGCTATCTCCCTGTGCAAATACTACCCCTCAGGTCACTCATGACTGATTGTTCTAAGGGGTGTACATACCTGGTGTAAATGTTCACTCCATATACCTGTTCATTGTTTGGCTGGAAGCCACAGAGGTGAGTTCAACTCCAGGCCCAAAGGGTGACTAGGGGCCATAGTCTCAGTGGTTTCACCAGTCTCTATCAGACCAGTAAGCTTGGTCTTTTTTTTTTTTTTTTTAATGATTTTGAGTTTTGTTTTAGATTTTTCCCCACTCTCTCCAGAATCTCCTATTTTGATCATTTTCTGAATGGTTGGCAACAGTAGCCAGGCACCAACTAGTTCTTCTGGTCTCGGTGCCACATAGGCTGAGCTTCACATGGTCCACTAGTCCCTTGGACTGTTTCCATGCACTTTTGTTTTTCTTCATTCTTCTTTGATTTGGACAAGAAGAGACCAATTGTTGCATCTCAGATGGCTGCTCACAAGCTTTGAAAACCCCAGTCATAACTCACCAAGGATGTAGAATAACATTTTTGTGTCATATGTTATACCAGTTGAGCTTGATGGCCCCCATGACCATGGTCCTGAGCCTATGGGCCCAGTCACTCACTCCGTCAGGGTGTTTGGCTGTGGTTAAGAAGTTATCATAATTTTGCCCCACTGGCTCTCTCTCTGTATAGCTAATGCCCATATCTATCTATCTATATGGACATTATATAGCACATATAAATACATATGTAGAAATATTGTCTGATAAATTTATATATGTTGTTGTTGTTGTTGTTGTTAGGTGCCATTGCGTTGTCTCTGACTCATAGTGACCCTATGCACAGCAGAACGAAACACCACCTAATCCCACACCAGCTCCACGATCCTTGCTATACTTGAGCTCATTGGTGCAGCCACTGTGTCAATTTCTCTTGTTGAGGGCCTTCCCCTCTTTTGTCGACCTTCCATCTTACCAAGCTTAACATCCTTCTCCAGGGAATGGTCCCTTCTGATAACATGACCAAAGTAAATGAGAAGTCTGGCCATTCTCGCTTCCAAGGAGCATTCCAGCTGCACTTCCTCCAGGACAGATTTGTTAGTTCTTTTAGCAGTCCATGGTACTTTCAGCATTCTTCACCAGCACAACTCAAAAGCAGCAACTTATATATGGTCATGGGGTTACTCATTTTTGCCCAGACATACCAGGCTTAATCTTTACAGAAGCAGACTGCCACATCTTTCTCTTGCAGAGCAGCTAGTAGCTTTGAACTGCTGACCTTTTCATTAGCAGCTGAGTACTTAACATCACTATACCACTAGGACTCCTACATATATATATAAGCTCATTTGGCTTTCTTTTCCTCATAAAAGTAGAATTTGAGCATGTGAAGCAATTGACTCCTTGGCAACATGATATGTCTACTCATCTGCAGACTTCTTCCTCTTCCTAATTAACTTTCTTACCCTTCAAAAAATCAGGTGCCCTTCTACTATCTTCAGTTTACATTTCATAGATCCTCTGTAGCACAGGCGTCTCATAGGTAGTGGAGATATATATATATATATATATATATATATGAATGATAGTGGCAGATAGATAGATAGATAGAGCCACTATCTATTCAGAGAAAGTCTTTAGAAGGTGCAACTAGTTAAGCATTTGGCTTCTAATTGAAAGGCTGGCAATTTGTGTCTACCCAGAAGTGCCTTGGAAGAAAGGCCTGGAGATCTACTTCCCAAGGAAGAGAAAACAATAGAGCACAGCTCTACTGTGACACACATGGAGTCACCCCGAGTTACAATCTTGACTCAATGACAACTGGTGTGCATATGTGTCTTCACTTTGAAGGAAGCCAAGAATAAATCTCCCTAAAGTCATCAATTCAAACAACAGAGAAGCCACTTTTATATACATGTGCCTTTTATCTAGGTACTCACAGTAATTTGTACTCTTTTGTTTACTAATGATGTAATAAGCCTCTGAAAAAATTTAGTAGAAAGGTGAGTTCCTACCTGTTTTTTAAAACCCACATGCCACCTTCTCTGTGAAGTCTTGACTGACTGCCCCAGTTCACCATGCCCTCCTTTCTGTGCCCTCCTGTGTCATGTATTCTACTTGTATTATAGCTCCCATCACAGTGAGGACAAGTGTATGCACCTTTCTCTCCTACCACAATGTGAGTCTGCCAGGAGCTGAGGCCCTGTTTTATGCTTTATTGTAACATACAAGACACTAAACATGAGTTGAATTACATGTAATTAAAAAACAAAACTATAGGAAAGAGGATAAACATCCACTCTGTGTCTGGGTTGATTGTGTTGAATAGCTCTCAAAAGTGAATGGATGCACTCTGAAAATCCCTGTATGTCCTACAACAAATTTCGTGATGGGCAGAGTAGGTTTTCAACTACCACATTCTAATTTGAATGCCTGAGACTCTCACTCTGACTGGAGGATACAGTGTCAATCAAGATGCTGGGCATGGCTTTTTGGGACTTTAAAGCCACGACTGAGTCATTGAGCTCTGGTGATAACAATGAGAATTCAAGTTATCTTGTAAACCTCCCTTCTGTTAGTTCTTTAGGATGATTTCAATTTTAACAATAAGCCACAGAGCTAAGATTAAAATACTGTGTTCATGGAATCATATTAAAAATCAACTACACAATTTTTCTGTAAATTTAAAACTGCTCTAAAAATAAAATCTACTTTAAAAAATAAAATTGTTTTACTTACCTTTCCATCCCTTAAGTTATAGTTAGGTGGATGTGAAGTGTTGTTAACATTAAGATGAATAAAAAGAAAATAACTCTTTTACCTCAGGGATAAATTCTTCAGGTTAGGTATAATTAAAATGTTACATCTCTCAGTTCGTGTTTGGTACCATACCTGTCCTGTGTATGCAAACTCCAGAGCCTGCTTTAAACCAAGGCTGGTCACACCATGTAAATTCACTTCATCAGCTCCACTTTCCACCATACAGAGACTGAACATTGCCTGACATGGGGAAAGAAACAAAGAATTTATAGGATTTAAAAATAAGAGAGCAAAACAAAGTCCTAGAAGGACAAGGAAAGACAAGTTTTACAACTTAAAGGTTAATTTTGATTTTTTAAACACTTCTGGTAAATGTCATTCACAGTCTCACAGACGCACACACACACACAAACAATCAAACCCACTGCTACTGAGTCAATTCTGGCTGACGGGGACCCTTTAGGACAAAGTAGTTGTTGTTGTTGTTATGTGCCATCGAGTCGGCCCCAACTCATAGTGACCCCTCCTTGGGTTTCTGAGGCAGTATCACTATGGAAGTAGATTGCCCCATCTTTCTTCCGAGGAGTGGCTGGTGGGTTTGAACCGCCAGCCTTCTGATTAGCAGTCAAATGCATTAGGCACTATGCTACCAGAGCTCCCAGGACAGAGTAGAACTGTCCCGTAGAGTTTCTAAGGCTGGAAGTCTTTACAGAAGCAAATTGTCTCCCACAGAGTGGCTGATGAGTTTAAACCATTGACCTTTTGATTAGCAGGCAAACGTTTTAACCACCAGGCCACCAGAGCTCATTTAATTCCTGTAAACTACTCTAAAATACTTTGATGTCTACACAGTTATAGTAGCAAACATATAGCAGGGATTACCTCAGATAACAAAGTCTCATTTCATTTAAACCCTCACAACAGTTCCTGAGGTAACTGAACTCATTCTCTGGATCCTAGGGTTTCACTCTTACCATGTATGTGTGGCAATCCCGAACATTCCTGCTGGTAGGAAATAGAAAGTAGCACCTTCTACTCTCACTTGGTCTTGTTTTTTTCTGCCTCATCTCAGTGACACATTCCATTCCTCTCATCAGTTACGTATCAATCACTCTACGGCAGTGGTTCTCAAAGTGGAGTGGCTGGACCAGCAGCATCAGCATCACCTGGGAACTTGTTAGGGTAGAGATTCTTGGGGAACCAATCCAGCTCTACTGAATCAGAAACTCTGAGAGTGGAGCCAAGTGATCTTTCTTAACAGATCCTCCAAGTGACCGCTCAGGTTTGAAAACCACTACTCCAGGTTAGTCAGTAGGAATCAATTCACCCAAAACCCAAGTCTCCAAATAGCCAACTTAGTGAAAATCAGTTCTTCCAAATTAAACAAATTCATGGATTTACAAACAAACAAACCAAAATAATTTTAACAACTTTAATGATTTTGACTTAACAGATATAAAGAGAATATTCAATTTTGGCTATTGATGATGAAATACACTAGAAAAATATACTTCATAGAAGTAAAAGAACCCACTCATTTTCACACGGTAAGACTTCGGCTCACACCAAACATTTGAAATTTTAAAATGTGATTTTTTGTTTTGCAAATATATTAATATTCTTTTTGTTGTGTTGTTGTTATTTGCCGTCAAGTCGGCCCCGACTCATAGCGACCCCTCCTTGGGTTTCCGAGGCAGTATCACTATGGAAGTAGGATTGCCCAACC